CAACTATGTGGCCTTGAGAAACAAGAGAAGAAGAGAAGATGATACGAATGTGGACCGATTTGACGTTTTTAGAGAAGAGATAAAAACACTCATTTTAACAATGTTTAAATCGCAAGAAAGTGGCTCCAAAAAGCTTGAATCCACTCTTACCGAAATAAGTAAGACAAACACAAATATCCAGACAACTATGTCCTTCCTCGCTGAACAGAATGTAGAACTTAAAAAGAAGTTAGAACTTCTCGAAATAGAAAGGAAAAAGGACAAGGAACATATTTCTATTTTGGAGGGACAGCTAGAAGACTTAAAAAGAGATAGATTGAAGAATAACATTGAAATAAAAAATGCACCCAAGGCTGATAAGGAAACAAAAGAAGACCTTATAATTATGACCTTAGAGTTGGCTAAATCAGTCAACTGTCAGTTGAGTGAAAAAGACATTAATGATATTTACAGGATAAGATTTAAGAGGGAGGGAAATGCTAGTTCCCCTATAATAGTTGAATTAAGCACTACCTTATTAAAAATGAAGTTTCTACAGGCCTGTAAAACATACAACTTGAAGAACAAGGATAAATTACGAGCTAAACACCTAGGATTAAAATCACAAGGTCAAGAAAATATCCCTGTCTACGTAGCAGAACAGCTGACCGCCTCCAGGGCTCGGCTGTACTTCCTTGCTAGAGATCTAATGAGATCAAAATCTTATAAGTTTTGCTGGACTTCCTATGGCCGTGTCTACGTCAGAAAATCTGAAAATTCACCCATTATCACTATAAATAATGAAGCAATCGTCCAAAAACTACTAGGAGAGCAATGACTAGACTTAATTCTTGAACCTTGTTATCTCTCTCTGTCTTTGCTTGCTCGGCCCATTTTATATTTTTGTTTTACCATATTATGTTATTTCATACTAGTTTTACATATTGCCCCAATAACACCCAAACCACATCTTTTTAACTACATAGTAAAATATCTTATGTTATTCTTTTATCAAATTTTGTTCCCGATTGTACACACATTACTCATTACTACTACCAAGACACATAAATACTTTATTAACAAAGGCTTGGATTCGGCCCTACACTACTACACACACACCTTCTCCAAACATATTCACACATTATCAGTACGCGATACTTTCATAATAAGTAGACTATTTAACACACTTCATAACCAACAAGCTAATAAAATGAATGGTTTATTTAAAATTCCATCCAATTATGGATAACGTAATCTCATTGATAACAGAAATTGACAATAGTGAGGTGGCTAATTCTAGCTTATGTGATGTTCATGACATATGTAACCAATCCCCTAAATTTCATAAAAATGATTTAAAAATAATTTCTCAGAATATTGTGTCGGTATACAGCAAGTTAGATGATTTCCAACTCACCCTTGCCCAGCTTAATTTTGAAGCAGATTTGATAATTTTAACTGAATGTAGAATAGATAGTGATAAACCAATACCCCAAATGGAGAACTACACTTCTTATTCGACTACAAACCATATAAACCAATGTGATGGTGTTGTTATCTATGTTTCTAGAAAACACAGTGTCAATGTCAAAGAAATTATTCTAACACATGCATCCTGCCTCCAAATTTTATTTTGTGGAGTTACCGTGCTAGGAATATACCGGTCCCCTTCACATACTAATTCCGAGCCCTTCACGGACTCATTAGACCGACATTTAACATCTTTGAAAAATTGTATTAATTTAATTATAACCGGGGATATTAACATTAACCTGATTGACAGAAATGATGCTCCGCAGCAGGAGCGTAATAACCGGCTTTACTATTTAAACATGCTGGCTATGCACGGCTTGCTACCTGGCCATGTACTACCTACACGGTATGGTAATTGTCTGGATCACTTTATGCTGAGACTAGACAAAAATAAACATTCCGCAAATATAAATGTAATAAATACTTCTGTCACTGATCACTCCACCATATTCTTAAGGCTCTCCAATATACCAAAGTCAGGTGCTTCCACTAAGACAAAAACATTCATTGATTACGATAAGGCGATAGCTACTCTAAGAGATAGCACATTGGTGGCTGACTTAACTTCATTAAACAACCCCAACATGATTATAGAGCTCTTACTAAGTAAAATAAGACAAACCTTAGATTTACATACAGTCACTAAGATCATTACATGCAAATATCGTGTAGTTAAGCCATGGATGACTTTGGGCATTCTACGATGTGTCAGAAATAGGAATAACATGCAGAAAAAGCTAAAATTAGACCCTGATAATGAAATTTTAAAAATAACTTACCGTAGATATCGAAATTATTGTAATAAATTAATCAGAAACCTAAAAAGAAATTATAATAAACAGCAACTAATTCTAAATAAAAACAACTCAAAAAAATTATGGCAAACTGTCAACAATATTACAAATCGGAATAAAAATAAAAGCGACAATTACGAACTGCTCCACTGTAAAGAAACAGCACAAGAGTCTATAGATCATTGTAATCAATATTTTACCCAAGTTGGCAAATCACTAGCAGAAGGTATCCTTGCACAACAACCCGCATACAATTGTTCTGACAAAACTACTTCGAATTATCCTCACTTAACTTCATTTGTATTAAGAGATACTGACAATGATGAGGTTCTTAATGTCCTGATGGGGTTAAAATCAAATAGTGCTCCAGGCTGGGATGGCATTCCTACCCAATTCTTAAAGCTAACTGCTGATATAATTGTCCCTATTATTGTTCATTTGATCAATCTATGCTTTGCTCTAGGTGTCTTTCCAGATGCACTGAAAATCGCTGTAGTTACCCCAGTGTACAAAGGAGATGATAAAACGGATATAAGCAATTACAGGCCTATTTCTGTTTTACCACCTATTGCCAAAATACTGGAGAAAATAATTAATAAACGTTTAATGAACTACCTTAATACATTTAATATCCTCTCCCCAAGTCAATATGGCTTTAGACGGGATTTATCGACAGAAGATGCCGTGTTGGATCTCACATCGCTTATTACTAATGCTGTGGATAAAAACAAAAAATGTGCTGCAGTGTTTTTGGATATGAAAAAGGCATTTGACTCAGTATCAATTACAGACCTTATCGACAAGTTGGAGAAAATAGGCATAAGAGGAATTCCCTTGAAATTATTCAAAGACTATTTATGCAATCGAAAACAGAGTGTAAAAATAGGAAAACACCAAAGTGAACAATGTGAAATCACCTTCGGAGTTCCGCAAGGAAGTGTATTGGGGCCCACTCTATTCCTTGTATATATTAATAATTTATGTAACATGGATATAGAAGAGGGAACAATGTTCACTTATGCTGACGACACTGCTGTCGTTTTTGTAGCTGACACCTGGGAGGCTGTTAAAAATAATTCCCAAAAGGGCCTTGCAAGAATAGCTAAGTGGCTCAGCGATAACCTTTTGACCCTCAATACCTCTAAAACTAACTATGTATGCTTCTCCAATTATAACTCCTCTCAACCACCTCCGACGTTTGCTATTCAAATACATACTTGTGGCTCACCTCATTCTATAATATGCTCATGCGATTTTATTAAGCGGCAAAACTGCGTAAGATACCTGGGTACTATGGTAGACCAACGCCTATCATGGCGCGATCATATAGAGCTAGTTATGGCTAGAGTAAGAAAACTCATATGGTTATTTAAAAATCTAAGACACGTAGCTGACTCGGCCCTCCTAAAACAAATTTATACTGCTCTTGCGCAGTCAATATTAATATACTGCATTCCGGCCTGGGGTGGTGCCATTAAAACAAAATTCCTGGAACTGGAGAGAGCACAAAGGTCACTACTCAAAGTTATCCATTTTAAGCCATACAGATTCCCTACGGAAATGTTATATGCGGTTAGCGATCTTCTGTCAGTACGTAAGTTGTATGTACTGCAAACTACTCTTAGAACCCATCGACATATTGGATATGATCCTAGTATTTTGAACAGACGTAGAAGGCATAATGTGGCACCTTTACCAACTTTTAAAACTAAATATGCTCATAGACAGTTCTGCTACCAGTCTGCTAACTTATATAATAAATTAAACAAGGAATTAAATCTATATAATATGAATAAATATAAATGTAAAATAACTATAAATTGTTGGTTAAAAACTCTAACCTATGAAGAAGTTGAATCTATTATCTAAGAATTACTATTCTAAAGTCTACTTTTATCTTACACTCTAAAAGAACACACACACTCAAACATATGATACAGACATATACACACATACCTCATACACACTCACTCACACACACTTACACTCTCACACATCAACATACACTTAACTGAATACAATGAACACCCCTCAATTTATCACTCATACACGATGCATCTTTTAACTTGTATAAATATTGTTTTGTTTTTGTAATATTATTCCCTTTTGTCTAAACTTACATACCTAATTAAGTGTACCTAGGAAGAGCGGATACTCCAAACACAAGTATATTATACATACTTAAATGGAGGCTCCAGCCACATGTTGTTACCATTGTAAGTGATTGAATAAATATTTTTTCATTTTTTTCATTTTCATTTTTTCATTACTTAAGCCTAAGTAGGGCCGCACACCAGGCATACATTTGTTATTTACGGTATTTACGTCGCCACAATCGTTGCGCTACAATTGTATGCATATACAAATGTATTGTATATGCGCACATCGGAAGCACAGTTGTAGCGTGGCACCGCTTTGAGAATGTCGACATCATCGTCTGATGACGAAGATTTCTTGATGTGGCGATTAATGAGAAAAAAAGACGTTATTGGGTTCATCCGTTTAATCAAGATTGCACAATGTACGGGAATTTCAAAATTTCGCAAGTATTACAATCCGATGAAGAAAAGTTCCAGTTATATTATCGAATGTCTGAAAACACATACAAGCTATTATTAAATTTAGTTATATTATGTTTAACAAAACAAAATACCCACTTCAGAGAGTGTATTTCGGCTGAAGAGCGTTTGCTCATCACTTTAAGGTATGTAAGATATTAAGTAAAAATTGACTTTCAGACTGAGGAGTCTCGTTTGATTGTTGTGCAGGTGACTCATCTGATTGAAGAATTGTACATGGTGCTTGCGAGGGCTGGTATTCTGATTGAGCAATCTCGGTTGCCCTTTGCAACGGACGGTCATCATTTAGAACTTGAGAAAAATTTGTATAAAATGTTGATAAATTTGAATTTGACGAACTCGTATCCAATGATCGACGTGGTAGCTGCCTGTACTTAATGTTTTCTATTAAGTCCAGTACCCCTCTTTGAAAGCTTAATTGCTGTTGCTGGGACATGGATGTCATGTGTGGAACTAAACTTAAAAGAAACATTTCACATGGATTTTTTGGTTGTTTCTCAGATCGTTGATTATTTTCCAGTCTTTGTTTTTTTAGTGTAAAATATTCAATAGTACATCTGTCTGCTTCATTCATGTGTTTCCGAGATTTTGATGGTTGAGGAGTCTGTATTGAGCTCGAAGAATGGGGACTGGGTACAGACGAACCAGCTGCAGGCGTTTCATTTCTCAGTGAATCTTCCTCGGCAGATGTGAAATCGGGAACATTGTTTGAAGTTTCCTCAATCTGGGATTGAGATTCATGAGATTGGGATTCATGTTCAGAACGTTGTTCATCTTCTTGTACTGGTAAATTACCCTCTTGTGGTCGGTTTTTTGTAAAAGGGTTTAGAAATTTCAAATATGGCGCTAAATAGTACTCCTTTTTCAACCCAGCAGCGGACCCACTTTTAGATTTTGTATTGAGAGATCGTAAGTAGGCTGAACGTATGGATTTCCATTTGGACTTACAATCATCACCTGCAAAAATCAGTATTATTAATTAAAGTCAAATTACACGAATTGTTTCAGGTACTTGGCGACTGGATCCTCATTTCGAGCAATGTCTTACGTATTTAAAAGAGGTGAAACAACTATTGGAAAAATTATCGATGAAACTTGTGATGTTATATGGACAGTTTTACAGCCAATGTACATGAAAATACCCACAACAAATGATTGGATAGATATTTCAAAAGGATTTCTCGAAAGATGGCATTTACCTCATTGCATTGGAGCCATTGACGGAAAACATATTAGAATGAAGAAGCCTATAACCTCTGGATCTTCATACTTTAATTATAAAGAATATTTTTCTATTAACCTTATGGCGTGTGCAGATGGAAACGGATTATTTACGAGTATCGATGTGGGTGATTATGGGAGGAATAATGATTCAGGAGTATTTGAAAATTCGGGATTAGGCCGAGCATTAAATAATAATACTTTAAATATACCTACGCCACGGCCCTTGCCAGGTGAAGAAGAATTTGGACGGTCATTTCCTTATTACTTTGCAGCTGACGAAGCATTTCCCCTGTCCACTAATATAATACGACCGTACAATAGTAGATCTTTAAACAATGATCGCCGAATATTTAACTATCGACTATCCCGTGGACGAAAGATTGTCGAGTGCACCTTTGGTATGCTAGTGTCTAAATTTCGAATTTTTGAAACTCCAATTTCATGTTCAGTCGACAAAGCAGTCAAAATTGTTAAAGCTGCTTGTATTTTACATAACTTTATAAAAAAGAATGATGATATAATTTTAACTCCAACCGAAAACGGAAATATACCTAACCCCACTACCAATCATATAAATCAAGGCAGACCGAATAACGATGCTACAGAAAATCGAAATTATTTGTGTAATTACTTCTTAAAACCATACGGGCTGGTGTCATGGCAAAATAATTACACAGTGTAGCACGATTAAGTACAAAGAAAGGTAGGTACTTACTCTTTTCATTGAATTTTTCGCCAATCTTAGTCCAAATAATTTCTGTAAACCGTCTGTTACTATAATCATTGAGCGTGTGATTGTATAATACAGGGTTTTTTTCAACCTCTGCAATAAACTCAACGTAAAATTCAATGTTGTCTTTCATTTTTGCAAACCAACGCGACACAAAAAACGAACGTGTTCGATCTTGAATTCGTGTAGCGCGGACAACGTCTCGCCACAAAGTGCGCCCGCCACAAATGTTTCCTCGGTGTGCGTGCTCACGTACAAATGTATGGGGGCGATAAATGTGTCGCGTTTCAAATGTAGCGCCACAATTATCGAGTTACAAATGTATGGCTGGTGTGCGGCCTGCTTTACAAAGATATGCATGATGAGGATCCGTTATAGTAACTGTAACTCCTTGTTCATCATCTTTCGTTGTGTCTTCGTCATCTGTATCTGATTCATTAGATGTTGTTGGCGTTGGTGCTAGATGGAGTTCTGCCTCCTCTTCATACTTTTTGTATAAAACATTGATCACAGCTAATTGTAACCCATGTGCAAAGCAAAGTTGTTGATAGCAATTCATAAGCTTACCTACTTTGACCATGACACTTGCGCCGTCAGTACTCATGCCAATAATATCAGTATCAGCATCAAGACTGACTAAATAATTAAAAACTCAACAATCATATTAACAAAAACAAAAAAATATTAATCAGACATAGAATCGTCCTCATCTTTGGATTTTCTAATAAATTTAAGAAATTCCTTCTCATGTCCCGATGCTTTGGTGTAATCTCCTTCAAAAGATTGATTTGCCCAGGAACGTCTAATACTGCGAAGGCTCGTAGTTTGTAAAGTCGAAGCTATGACTTTCTGATTATTAACATGCTTAATTGTAACGTCGCTGAGAATTTGTATTTTGTTATGTTCGGGCACAATATTTACATAATGTACTGCAGATTCAATTGGAGTTTTATAAATTTTAAAAAACCGTATATGTTTATTATGTACGCAAGCAGTATTTATACACTCAAAGCAGCTCTGTCTTCTGAATTCCAAATAAGTAGAGTCAGACGACCACACAACCTTAAAATAATAATAAAAAAAAGAATTAAAACGATGGAAAATCAAATTAAAAGTACTAATAGTAGAAAAAGTTAAACAATCATCTGATGAACCCCCATAGTGCCTTTGAAGGTCATGATATCTTTTGGCAGCATCAAATCTTTTATTTTAATTTCGTCTTCCTCAACAATTTCAATTTCGACATTCTTAACGTGCTTTTGGATAACGCCTATAAATGCATTAAAAGTTCCAACATCCTGCTGACACTTAACTTGATAATCAGCAGTTCTCTTTATTACTGCGCCTATCCCATCGGGAGCACCTTCGGTTTCGGTTTAAGAATAACTTTATTTCTCATAAGAATTGAAAATTCACTTACTGAGAAACACATATTTAAAACTAAGATTAAATATTAGAGCGCACAGATGTCGGTACATATATAAAATAAGAAAACAGAACAGCACCAAAAATGTGGGTAGACATAAAAAACTTGGTCAGTCAACCAAGCGAAACACGGATGTTAGAATTTAATTTTTTTCTAGATGTGGCATTGATGGCATAGTCTGATATAACAAGTTTATATTGATTATTTTATTATTTTTCATAAGACTATTTTATTTTTAGTTTATTCCTATATTTATATATTTAGGGTATGTACAAGGTTTATAAAACATTTTTACACATTAAAATCACCTAAAGGCAGATTTTGGTCAATATCAAATACAATTCTTTAACACCGTGAGTGGTGTTAGTTTAAAGTTCTTAAACATTATACATTTCAAGTGTTATCGCATTCTTGTCGATATATATATATATATGTGATGGAATGATATTTCATTAATTTGAATTTGACGCGTCGGAGTGACACGCGATAAAATGGCGGATGACGTGTAAATTAATTTAGTGGATTATAGTGTAAAAAGATAGATAAGTGGACATTAAATGTCGTTTCTTTGTATTTCAGAGAAACAATTTTGTGTTTTCATTTAGAAAAAATCCATAATAATATTCCTTTATAAAACGACATTTTTGTTAACTAAAAGAAGATGGACCGGCTGCAATTTGAGTTCACGATGATGGCCTCAATCGATGGCAAATCTAATATATTGGCCATAACTTCAATATTGACAGAAGAAGGAAAATGTTATGTTTTACCTGATGAATTGAAGCCGGTGATTCATCATACATATATAGTTAAATTGAACACTTTTTCAAAAATAAAAAATAGTATAAAGAAAAGGCACCAAAGCAGAAAGATATGGGTAAAATTAGATGAAGATCTAAAGAAAACATATATAGATGAGGAAGGTAATATGCAATTTTTAGATCAATATTTAGAGGAAATGAGCACAAAACAACCAAGAGGCAATGATGATAATTTGCAACATATCCTGGAAAAATTAATAGAATCTACAACAAAAAAGAAAATCAACATAATTTAAAACATGTTTCAGAGAAATTTATTATCGAAAAATTCACAAGTAAGAATCCTAATGCAGTGCAATGGATAGAGAATTTTGAAAAAGAGTGTGAGCGTTTTAATATAACAAAAGATGAAACAAAAATAGATATATTGAGATTATTTTTAGAAAACTCCAGTTTGGATTGGTATAGCTCGATGGTAATTAAACTATCAGTAAATTCTGAATGGAATGAATGGAAAGACAAATTTTTAGAAACTTTTAGGAACCAAGGGTGGGATGTAGTCACAACTGCTTTCACATTCAAGTATAAAGAAGGGCTGTTAATTGATTATGCTATAAAAAAAGAACGGCTTATACTAGATATAAATAAATCGATAGATTCCAGAACAATGATAGATCTAATTGCAACTGGTTTACCTAGTTTTATCTTGAATAAGTTAAACAGGGACGAACTCAACAACACTACTGATTTGTTCAACGAGATAAGAAAATATGAATGTATGATTTTCAAGAAAAACTCAACTATAACAAAGAATATATATTCTTATAAAAATAAAATTAATGAGAAGAAGCCATGTAAGACTTGTGAATCTTTGGACAAAGGAATTAGATATCATCCGGAGGAGTTATGTTGGTTCAAGAAAAATAAAAATGAATCTGAAAAGGTTTTTAAAGCCAAAAAAAATAATTAAATAATAATTCGATTATTGAAGTAGATATGAATACTGAGAAAAAAAACGAGTAAGTACACCATTAATCAAAATCAAGCTATTATTAGAAAATAAACTAGAAGTGAGCGGTGTTTATGATTCAGGCTCACAGATCTCTTTAATAAATTCAAGATTGATTAAAGTGAAAGAAAAAAAAGACAATGTGAATATAACATATATGAAAACGGTTAATGGTGTGAAGAAGACAGATGGCTTGATAACAATAAAAATAAAAATCTTTGATTTAGAAGAAGAGGTCGATATATATATAGTAGAAAATGAAGATTTTGAGGATTTTATAATCGGATTGGATATGATAAAGAAGTTCAAATTAATCCAAAATGAGGACTTGCAGATAGAACAAAGGAAAATAGACAGGATGTCTAAAGATATCAGAAATGAAGATAAGAATATAAAAATATATGCAATAAATTTCAATGAACACATAGAAACAGAGGAATTTGTTAGTAAGACAGATCATTTAGATAAAGAAAAGAAAATTGAGATAGAAGAAGTTATAAATAAATATAAAACTATTTTTGCTAGGGACAAGTATGATATAGGATCAGTTAAAGATTATGAAGCTCACATAGATTTACTTGTAAATACATACTGTAGTAAAAGACCATACAGATGTACGATAGAAGATAAATTAGAAATCGAAGAACAAATATCCAGATTACTAAAGAATAATTTAATAGAAGAATCTTACAGTCCTTTTGCTGCGCCAGTGACAGTAGCATTTAAAAAAGGTGAAAATAGAAAATCTCGATTATGTATAGATTTTAGAGAACTTAACAAAATTGTTGTACCACAAGCTCAACCTTTCCCATTAATAGATGATTTAATTATTAAGACAAGAAATTGTAAGTATTTTACTACTCTTGATATAAACTCAGCATTTTGGGCCATACCACTACGGGTGGAAGATAGATATAAAACAGGATTTGTCACACAAGATGGCCATTTTCAGTGGACCTGCCTTCCTTTTGGTTTAAAAACATCACCAGCAATTTTCCAGAGAGTTTTAAGTAATATTTTGAGAAAGCACAATCTCACAGGATACTCTGTAAATTATATTGATGACATTTTAATCTACTCCTCTACTTTTGAGGACCATATAAGACACATAAAAAATGTATTAGAGGCAATAATAAAAGAAGGCTTTAGATTGAAGTTTATGAAGTGTACCTTTGCCTCAGACTCAGTAAAGTATCTTGGCCATGTAATTCAAAACAACTCGGTAAGACCGTTAAAAGATAATTTGATTTCGATAAAACATTTTCCAACTCCGAAGACACAAAAGAATATCAGACAATTTTTGGGAAAAATTAACTTTTACCATGAATACATACCAAGGAGCGCGATTATCTTAGATCCATTACATAAATTATTAAGAAAAAACGAAAAGTTTGTGTGGTCAGAGAAGTGTGAAGAATCATTTAATCAAATAAAGAGATATTTATGTTCTCAACCGGTATTGGAAATATATGACAAAGACTTACCAATAAAAATCTTTACAGATGCATCCTTAGAGGGTATCGGAGCAATATTAAAACAAACACAACTGGACGGTAATGACAAACCAGTAGCATATTTTTCAAAAAAACTGAATGAATCTCAAAAACGGAAAAAAGCTATATACTTAGAATGTTTTGCTATGAAAGAAGCAGTCAAATACTGGCAACACTGGCTCATTGGAAAACAATTCACTATTTACTCAGACCACAAACCTTTAGAAAACATGAACATTAAATGCAGGACAGACGAAGAATTGGGTGATCTCACATACTACCTGTCTCAATACGACTTTACGGTAAAATATATACCTGGTAAAGAAAATGTAGAAGCAGACTGTTTAAGCCGAAATCCTGTATTAGAATCAGAAGATAACAAAGAGGAATTATTGAAAATAGTTAATTTAATACAAATAAAGGATATAGTTGAAGATCAAGAGCAAAATGAAACAATAGAAGAATATAAAGAAAATCTAATACAAAAAAATACAATATATTATAAGAAAATAAAGAAACATGAAAAGATTATCCTCTCAGAAGAATTTAGTAAGAAACTTATCAAAAGGTGCATGAAGATTTATGCCATATTGGGATCAGACAATTGCAGAAAAAAATAAGTCCAATATACACAGCTAAAAACCTAACAAAGAATATCATAAATATTTGTAAAACATGTGAAATATGCATAAAAAATAAATCAAGAGGTCAAGGAAAATTTGGATTAATGTCACAACTGGGACCAGCAACAAAACCATTTGAGATAATGTCAATGGATACTATAGGTGGCTTTGGAGGATCTAGATCAACAAAAAAGTACCTACACCTTTTAGTAGACCATTATACAAGATATGCATTTATTGTGACGTCAAAAACACAGAATGCAAGTGATTTTATAAAACTAACAAAGAATGTACTAGAAACAGATGAGATTGGAATAATTTTGACAGATCAATATCCAGGCATCAATTCAAGAGAATTTAAGCAATATCTACATGAAAATAATGTTAAATTAATTTTTACAGCTGTGAATACGCCATTCTCAAATGGCTTGAATGAAAGGTTAAATCAAACAATAGTTAATAAAATAAGATGTAGAATAAATGAGAAAAATAATAAGAGAACATGGACAACAGTGGCAAGAGAATGTGTAGAGAAATATAATGAAACAGAACACTCCGTTACAGGTTTTGCACCAAAATATTTACTGGATGGTACAAATGTCAGCATTCTACCAAATGAATTAAAAATAATAGAAGGAGAAGACAAGTGGATTGCTGATAAAAGATTGGCATTAGAAAATACAATAAAATCCCACAAGTACAATAAGAAAATATTTGATAGAAAAAGAAAAATGCAAGAGTTTAATATAGGCGACAGTGTATATGTTGAGAATGGAAATAGACTGAATAGAAAGAAATTAGACGAATTAAAAATAGGTCCTTTTAAGATAGTAGGGAAAATATCGAACTCCATTTATAGGATTGACACTGGTAACAGAAAAACAGAATCAACTTTGTTCCACATAACAAAATTACAACCGGTTACAACAGAATCTGAAGAAGATGAAATATAAGGAAAACGAATATGAAGATAGCTATTAAGTATAGTGTGTAGATATATTATTCAGAATTTTTTTCTCTTAGGGGGGAGATGTAATGGAATGATATTTCATTAATTTGAATTTGACGCGTCGGAGTGACACGCGATAAAATGGCGGATGACGTGTAAATTAATTTAGTGGATTATAGTGTAAAAAGATAGATAAGTGGACATTAAATGTCGTTTCTTTGTATTTCAGAGAAACAATTTTGTGTTTTCATTTAGAAAAAATCCATAATAATATTCCTTTATATATATATATATATATATATATATATATAAATATACATATTATATTTTGATCACTTATTTGTATGTAATTAATGTGTAAGTTTTTAGAAGCTTTTTAAATCGGGCATAATTTTGTTCTGCTTTTATAACTGATGGTAACTTATTATAAATTGTAACACCCTCATACTCCAAACTTCTTTTTACATAGTTAGTTCTAGGAGGGCGGGTCACCAAGTAACTAGCACGTCTTAAGTTAATGTTTCGTGTTTGTTGTTTGGTTAAAAATTTTATATTAGAATTAATTTCCCTATTTAATATTTTGCGTATTAGAATACAAGTGTAATATATGTACGTTTGTTTAATGTTCATTAATTTTGTTTCCTCGTATATCCTTTCAGTAGGCGTCCGAAATTTATAGTTAAATAAGTTTTTAATCAATCTATTCAGAGTTCTTTGGATAGGATCCAAATTACTCTTCGCTGCTTCCCGTGGCCAGCTTCTTGATAATTCCAAGTCTTAATTGAGGTAAGTCATTCTTCAGTTGCGTTAAAATATAGAAAATATATTTATTTCGGTACTGGTTTCTGGTAATTTATTGGTAACAAATTTTATAAGGTGGTCTAAATGAGCCCACACGGCCGCTGCATCATGACGTGTGCACTCACTAATTGTGCAAAGAGAATGGGCTACTGTTGTGTGCTTCTCTTTCTTTAAATAAACAACCGCTGTGTGAATGCACACTTGACCACGACTGCCACCAAAATGCATGCTCTGAACTTCCTCGGCATACTTGTAAGCATAATTTTCAGAAAAATCCATATGAATCAACGATTCGTCGCTTTTCAGAGATTCTTTCAATTTTTTTATTGTTATATACTGATTAACAATGTTACTTGTGTGCGATAAAAATTTAGGCAATAAATTCTCCATTTTTAATATCAGGTTACGTGGATCTCATTTCTTAGGCTTCTTCTTTATTATTTTTATTTCTTTGGTGTCTACTATCTTCGTATCTCGTTCCCATTCCATGTATCTCTCGATCATTTTTGAATTCTTTATATAGGTACTACCATCTTGTCTTTGCATTTATCGCATTTGCGGCTTAGGCAATCCACATTATATTTATCACAACAGATTTGCATTAACAAATTTTGAGTGTCTTTTACTTCAATAATGTTGTTTTTACTTAATGCTGATATCACTCAGATAAAATTGGTGTGCAATGTACAGGCACACGTATCGCGATCATCAACTGGAAGAGAAACCCAAAAAGGCCTAAGCCTTGTAAATGTGGTATAACTCATTTGAATGTTGGTATTTTCTGATAAAAATTTCTTATGTAGATTTTTCATGGTATCTAAAAGATATTGTATTTGATTCACTGTTCCATTTCTTTTCTTATATTGTTTTTTACCGGGAGCAATGCGACTATTTATATCGTCTTCATAAAAGTTTTCTACCAATTTTTGGACATTCAAACTCTCATTTTTTTTTTCTTGAGTCTTTGTCTAAGGCACACTTTACGAAGATCTGTGGAAACTTTAAAATGTTTGAATTTCTTCCCATCAATTAAATTTGTAATTGCACGTTTTTCTTTTCTACTTGTAGTTGTTGCAAATTTTTGTGTTATTTGTTCATTTAAAAGTTCGTCAAATAATTGCTTTTTGTCTTTTTCCTTATTCTCAGTAGTTTCAATATCATTGCTTGTTTTTCTAGATAGTTTAAATATTTGTCTCTGTAAAACTCTAATTCTGGCTTTGTATCTGTTGACTAATAACATACAACTTTGTTTTTGTTTTCTATGTTGCATTTTTAATGTTTTTATCTTTTTTATCAGTTTTAGCTCTGTATTACTTGGATTCGACTCCTTTTCTTTTACTGCTTCTTTTAACGGATCTGCACTAATGTTGCCTTGCACATCTTCACTATCTACTTCTCTAACCGTAACAGTTTCAATGATTTTTTGGCTTACTTTCTTCTTGTAATACTTTTTAGCGCTCTCTTTCCATTTTCTTCTTTGAATGCGTTGATCCCGTGGACTCATTTCGTTAATGATTTTAATTTGTTTACTTTCCTTTCTATTCAAGTAGTTCTGTCGCTTTTTTTCCTGTTCAGTGGCGTATAGCTCAGGATTATTCTTAATTCTGTTATATTTCTCCCTTCTGGCTACTCTTCGTCTTTCTAGCTCTTCCTCGCTCTTTTGTTTCTTTGGTTTGGCCATTGTTAATAATCGATAGTTTCCCTACAAAGTAAAAAAAACATACTTTCATAATTTTTATCATTCGTGCACTGTTTCATATTATTCGTATGACATCTGAGTCGACACGAATGAGAGGGACCGTAATGAGAAAATTGGAAGGTTTTTAAAATTTACCAGACTCACAGTAACGTTCTAGAATATAATCTCACAATAATCAATATATGCACTTAACACTTATATATCTAAATGACGTAAAAACCAAACAACAAATAATTGAATACAATGTGTGGCCAAACACTAATGAGGTAATTTTTGTTAAGGTTTCAAAATCTTACCTGATATTGGAATTTTTTTCTTTAAATTACGACGTACACTACTGCACACCAAGCTCGTTCGAGGCCAAATGAGCAGAAAAGGATCGCGCGGGGTAAAGGGCGCGATAAAGGGAAGTGTCTGAGTGGTTATTGCGCACTTGATAACGCCCACACGAATGAAATTGTAAATAGGAACTTTATTAAGAAGCTTAGAAATCGTATTTCTTTTGTTTTTATAAATGTCCTATTATCCAGTTAATATTATTTCTTAATTGTATTAACTGGATATTAAACAACTTAAACGACCCAGTTACGGATCGGCCGCACAACTAAGTTAGTTCCTCTTAGCTGGGGCATTTCACGTAGCTTAGCTGGCATAGTTTGCGGTGGACGCACATGTATGAAAAACTGACTCAACTATGCGAGCTAAGCTAAACTAACTTAGTTTAGCTGGCAGAGGAGGAGCGGCTTTATGCTTAATTGAACTTAAACTTTTTGTAAGCAAATCAGCTGGCATATCAGCTGTACGTATGTACTGAACATTTATCAACTTTTGAGCAACAATCTCTTTACAAAAATGAAATGTTACATCTATATGTTTAGATTTGTTATGAAAAACAGGATTCAATAACAATATTTGTGCACTTTGGTTTTCATTGTACAGAATAATAGTATATAAATTGTCAGTAATTTCACATTGCAAGTTTTGTAAGTAAATAGCTTTTTTACAACACTCTGAGATCTCTATATACTCTGCCTCTGTACTAGAGAGTGTAACAACCTTTTTTTCCCAAGATATTGCAGCACCTGATAATGTAAACACATAACCCGTATAGGACCTCCTACTAATAACATCATGCCCAAATCAGCATCAACATAACCAATTATTTCATAATTAATATATATGAGATTATATATATTAATTATGAAATAATATACTGAGATTCAGTTTACACTCCATTGGTGTATTTGATGTGCGACAATCCATCATTTTAAATTTACTTAACAACTGGTCTATATAACCCTCTTGTTACAGAATTTTTACTGCACACAACTCGCATACCCAAACATTGTTTTAGAGTACCTACCTAAATCTTTAATTCTAAAATTGTTTGCTAAATACTTTTTAAAGTTTATTACTTCATGGGGAAAAATTTGTATTTTCCACATTTCATTTCATTGGTAGCTTTGAAGATTTCAAAGAAGATGCAATTGAATACCTAACCCTTATTAATTTGCGTGTTTCCAAGTCAACGATGTCCAGGTTCTCAGATGTCTCGCCTTGCACTTCCTTACCCTTCCTTTTTCTTGCAAACAAGTGGTCAACGGTCTTCTTCTTATTACACAACAACATGCATATCATTACATGTAGCATTAGCGATGCCTTTTCCCTCCCACTCATATTATACCATTTAGGGTGTCTTTTACCGAAATGCTCTATAGCATCAATTGGAAATAGCTGGTTTCCTAATAAAAGCTTTGAATAGGTGTCCATAGTTTATTTTTCAAATTAAGGATCTGTTCATACTTATTATCAATATAACCTGAAAACATCCAGTTGCATCAAACCTTAATGCAAGTAGAATAGGCAATCCTCTGTTGTTATAAAGTTGCAAGTTTGTAATGATCAGTGGCAGAATCACATTTAACACCGTGTGATTTAAAAAACGGTACCTTCTTTAGAATTTATTCTCATCGTACATCTCGTTGGCAATGTCTGACTCTGTCTCATTTACCATAGTAGAGTCTTTTAAGAATAATAAACTATTATAATAGGTATATGGGCTTTTTTGTTTGGCACCAGAACCGCTTTTCATGTTTTTTAAATTTTTCGAAGCTTTTACAAAATTATCTTTAATATTCCGCCATTTTTTCATAAGTACCTGTAACAATAATCATGTAAATTAATAATAAATAATTATGTTTTTAGACATTTGGCGACCGGATGCACCTTCGCTGAACTACATTACACATTTCTAATTGGTGCGAGTACAATAGCTGAATTTGTTTGTGAAGTATAGGGTGTCTTATTCCAGAATTTAACTTTAGTAAAATAATAAAAAATCAACCGTTGCATATATATTGTTTTAATTATTACGAATTCCAAGCTTACTAATGCGGATATTATTTACGAAAAATAACGTCGTCGAGATTAGGGTTGTAACGGAGGCGGAGGCGGATGCGGAGGTGAAGAGGTTCGCCTCCGCGGATGCGAAGGTTAACGGAGGCGGAGGCGGAGGTGAAATTTGTTGGGAAAATATAAATAAATTTATGATTAATAGAGTCAGCAACATTTATTTATATTATATATAATGTGTACAATTGTACATACATGTTCATGATTCATCTTAGTAATCAAAATTGACAAGAGGCAAATTATATTTTACGAACAAAAGCTTTGCGGCTTTTTCGCCTTCTAAGCGGTTTCTCAAGGGTTCGTAAATTAAACCAGCAGCACTAAATAACTGTTCGCTTGGCACTGAACTTGGTGGCGCCGATAAGTAAATGCGAACTATGGGAGCAAAAACTTTATATTTAATGTTATATCTCCACCACAATAAGGGATCTTCATTTAGTTGGAGTCTATTTTCTTTATTGTATTCATTAATTAGTGTTTTCCATATCATGAGGTTGCTGTTGGTATCCATGCTGTCATTTTCCGATTCCTCTTCATCACTGCAATTCTTCAACATATCAGCCAGGTTGGAATGCACACTTTGTATTGGTGACAAAATCTCAAAACTTGTGCTTGGGTCAACATTACTTGCATTTGATGCTAATCTCGCTCTCTTGGCCACAGAAGGTTCATCATCGTCAACTCGGCTTGCAACATTCGAGTCATAAAGGGTTAGCAAACGTATTAGTTCGGACTGAACTTGCTCTTTAATTACGTCATTAAAAAACTTTAATTTGTACCTTGGGTCCAAATATGTAGCAAGCGAATACAGGGTATTGCTTTGTAGGTCACAAAATCTAGAATTGATATCTTCAATTAGTTTTTGAATGATATTCTTGAAATTTGGATTTGTGTCAATTTTTTCCTTTTCCATTTGCAGTGTATGTTTCAGTACATGTATCAAAGGAATAACTGACGATATGCAAGTGTTTGTATCGCTCAGATTTCTCGTTATTTCTTCAAAGGGGGTGAGAATTGCCACTAATTTATTTAGGTACAACCACTCTTCTGGAGATATTTGTGGAATACTATGTTTGCTGGCATACAGGCAAATAGAATCTTTAACCTTCAATAGCCGTTCGACCATGTAGTATGTGCTATTCCATCTGAAATAAAGAATTATTATTATTATTATTAATAATAAAAATAATCTATCCTAATATTATAAAGAGGAAAGATTTGTTTGTTTGTTTGACGCGAATAGGCTTCGAAACTACTGGACGGATTTAAAAAATTCTTTCACTGTTGAGTAGCTACACTATTTGCGCGTAACATGGACTATATTTGACGCGGACCAAGTAGGGGGAAACCACCTAGTAATGAAATAAAGAAGACAAAATGTTACTCCTCGTCATGTTTTTTTGAAAACTGTTCACCATTTTAAGCGCTAAATATAATGAACGAATTATAGGTATCATTGGAATGATATAATAAGTAAGTAAGTAAGTATATAAACAATAACATACCTGGTTACACAGTCCTGTATCACGCGAAGGGCAGGTTGATTAAGTTGCTCCGTTTGAATTTTTATCAGCTCATCTTGAGCAATTTGTGAATGATTAAAATGGCCTGATATCTTCCTGCATTTTGCGAGTAAGTCCTTGACCTGGGTTTCAGAGTGCAGAACGAACACACAGTTGAAGTTGATGGACTGTGCAATTTATGTCAGGTATTTCAGCCAAATGCATTGCTCTTACCATATTCGATCCACCATCTCTAATAAAACAGTGCAATTGCTCGTTCTGAATATTCCAGTCCCGCAGCATCATTTTAAAATAGTCACAAATTATATCACCGGTATGTCGGCCATGAAGTGAGCAACATTTTAAAACAATTTGCTTACGGGTAAAATCTTCAGTTATCCCATGTGCAGTAAAGCTCAAAAGCGACACATTAGCACTTGGCTCAGACCAAATATCGGTGGTAAATGAGAGTTTTAAAAAATGTTTGAGACTTTGTCCAATTTTGGTAGCTATTTTAGTATATATTTCATCACATATATGTTCTGTAAAAAACTGACGCCCTCTTAATTGGTAATTTGGCAAAGCCGTTTGCATAACCCGGCGAAAACCAATGCCTTCGACAAAATGGAACGGAAGAATCTGTAAAGCAATCATTTCTCCGATAACATCATCCATTTTCTTTGCTTTGAGGTGTGAAGTATCCCACATTTGATTTTTTTCGTGGATTCTTCTAAAGACAATTGCCGTCTAGCTTGCTGCAATGGTGTCAAAGACGATGTCTGTTGTAATTTTCCTTTTTCACGTTGTTCTTCTAATTTACAAAGTTCTTCAAATTGTTCTTTATGTATAGATTTTAAATGCCCTTTCAGTGATGTTGTTGTCCGGCCTTTTCTTGAATAATTTTTCCCGCAACTTTTGCATTTTGCATAATTATCGTCTACTTCTACAAAGTACTGCCAAATTTCACTAGTTTTCGGCTTCATCACGTTATTTAAATAACAATAACTAATAATTACGCACAAAATTACTTAAAACAATCACGGCTCAATTGCAACTACGCGGTACCGAACGCTTTGACAAGTTGATTCCTGTTATTCATTCACTCACACTCCCACCACCCGCTTGGCCGTGTTCCCGCGGCTTAAGCAAACTCTCGACCATTTCACTTGAAAACACGCAGCCGAGCGGCCGCGTCGCCTAGCGTCGCTCCTTGCGCGTTGTTTGTGATCGTAAATGAACTTCCGATATGACTCCGCATAAATTTTGCGGAGGCGGAGGTTAAATTCTTTGCGGAAGTTCCGCAGTAACGGAGGCAGAGGCGGAGTTCCGTTACAACCCTAGTCGATGACTTCCACCACGGCGTATGCACTCCTGCCAACGTAGACGCATATTTGCTATTACGCGTTGCAGCATTTCTGTTCTAATCAAGGTCGACTTTTTAAATAGCCCCAGAGAAAGAAATCAGCTGGTGTTAAATCTGGGGACCTAGGTGGCCAGGCTATGTCCCCAAACCTGCTATGGCACCACAAAATTGTTTAACATCGCTACGTAACGATCGCTAGTAACAGTTACTGCGGTGCCGCGATTATCTTCAAAAAAATAGGGTCCGATTATTCGTGTCGCAGACATCGCGCACCAAACGGTTACCTTAGGACTGTGTAATTGCTTCTGATGCTTTTGCTGTGGGTTGCTCGGCGACCAGTAGTGACAATTCTGTCGATTGACGTAGCCTTCGAGGTGAAAATGGGCTTCATCACTGAAGAAAACCTTATCCAGGTCATTTTCCGGTCCTGAAATTCTCTAACATTTGTTCAATTTTTGTTTGTTGGGGGTTGTTTAACATTTAGCATTTTTTCATTTTCACTAGTAGTTATATTATTGATGTTACGGTTTTCGTTAGTATTATCATTTATCACCTTTTCAGTTATTGTTATTTCTTGAGGTTGACGTTCTTCCATGAAGTAATGTAAGTATCTTTGTAAAATTTGTAGATAAAGCGCCCATTTTTCGCGATCATCCAATCTACTTTGCGGTGTTGCTTTATTTTCATTCTGATGTTTCAGTTTATCAATAAAGTGTTGCTCAACAAGTAGCATTTATTTTGTGTTCATTGTGATTTATTAAAACAACTTACAAGGGTGCTTAGAATTGTACCCAAAATTATTAGAAGAAAGGACCCTCCTTTTTGTATTAATATATTTTTCCTGTATTCAAAACTTTTTCCTTTACTGATCAGATTACGTAAGAGATTTTTAATTTTGTTTTTGTATTCTCTTTTAAAGGTACTTTTCCTTGCAAAACATTGTGAATACATTCACAGACAGTTAATTTCTTGATTATTACAAGACTTCAATAATATCCTACGATTTTTGGGTTTTAATTTATGTAAAGCTGATAACAATTCCTTATGCGTTGTTATTCGTTGATACATGGTTCATTACTGACTTAGAGTGGCTGATTACAAAGATACTTATACCTTTTCATAGGAATATTGTACAAACATTACTAGATTCAAATATTTTAGATTTTATGCGGCGAGCATCATCAGTGTTTTGTTTCAAATCAATCATTAAATAACCATGAGCTTCTTAAGTAGCATCGGTATATGAATCATCAATAAACTTCGTGTCTTCCGGTGAAACTTGTCTAGCTAGAAATCGTATTTGTGTTTTGTCACGGGGATTTTTAAAATAAATAATATAACTTGAATTAAGTGAAATGTCGCGCTGTCCTCTTCCTTGATGAAATAAGTTTTGTGTTATGTAAAAAACACTCAAATTTCTATGGTACCTTTTGTAAATATATCAACAACTCGACCATCAGATTCCCTCATTAAGTCATCTATTATAATCAAATGTAGATTTTTACCATCAAACATATGCGATTCCGGTAGTCCTTGGTGGTAATTCACTCCGGGTATATTATATAGCGGCTGCATTTCATCATAACACCATATTATTTCTAAAAAAAAATCATTACATATACTACTTTTATGCTTAATAAAATTTGCATCAAAGTTAGATTTTCCAAGCCCCACTAGGTCCTGCTACGATAGCAGCAAAGGGATGAATAAAATGAATCATTATTTTTTGACTTCTGTCTTCTTCAGTGAAAGGAATAAAACTAAGTTGATATTTTAAAAACAATTTATTTATATGAAATATACAAAAAATGTAAGTGTTACATCACAATATTAATGTACACGTATATACATTATACATGTACAAAACAAAATTATTTTACATAAAAATTTACAATTTGTTATATATACAATAATTATTAACTTAATTACATACTATTGATTTGGTAATGACCTATAGGTAACGATTTTGTTTGGTAAAATGTACCGCTTAGTGTCATTAAAAGATAAACACACCTTATTTACTTCCTGTGTAAAAATTGTATGTTTTAATGATCTAAAGTAAACCGATACATTTACAATGCTGAATGTTTATATTAAACAAACACGACTTATAATTATCCAACGTTAATTTTTTAGTGACACATTTGCTAACACCCTTCGCCTTAGTAATAATTTTATCATCTACCTGTAATGCATACATTTTTGATCGCAAACCCACAAATTCAGTAAAGATTTTACCACAATTTTCATCTTTGAAATAACCGAATTTTTTCTTATTTACTTGAGGAAAATTAAAAACATTGTTTGGATCATAATCTGATGTATCGAAATGTGTACAAATGTCTGGCTTTATATCATTATAAAAGTTACTAGTAAATATTTGATAAATGAGACTGTCAGTATCTGTATACAGTAGTTTCAGATTTGAAGTAAATTTCTCTTACATGTAATTATAGTGGAAATCATACATCAGCGTTTTAGATATATCTAATATACAAAATCCGAGATAAATAGGTTTATTATAAATTAATTTCATTTTGTTTAATTGAATTGCAACAAGACTATCAGAAAATATTGAAACACTGTGAAAATGTGGTTGAGCAATTAGATCCCCAGCTCCCAATACTTTACCCCTATTTTCCCAGTGGGTTAACAGTTTAACGTTAACTCGTTTCTCAATATTTTCCATAGTCTTACCAAAAACAGCGTTGTTCATGAGTTTATAGAAATCTTTCTCAAAATCAGAATTAGCTCGAGTTCTTAATTGTGTATTAAGGTCTATATATTTTTTTAACCATGGACTCTGCTTAAATTTTAATATTCTATAAACTTTTAATAATTTTAAACCCATTTTCAAACATTGAATTAAATTTCGATAGTGAATAATATATTTAGATTTATTTTTTAAGTTTGGAATCAATCTAATTTCCTTAGCGTCCCCAACTGGTATATTTTCTGGACAAAGAGGTAAATCGTAATGTTTATCATGTAAATCCACCGGATACTCCAGATCTACTTCTAAGATAAAACCTATATCGGATGAACAATAACATTAAAATCTGTATCAGCACTAACCCACTCAAAACCACCTGTTGGTAGATATTGTGACATTGCCCAACCATATAGATTATTGGCATCGAAATACATTAAGAATGACTCTTTATCTTTCGCATTATAGTCAGACATTTAAACATTATTTGCTTTTGCATAGCGAGTGCTATATTGCGAAACACCACCACGAATTCCAGATTTAATAAAAGCAATCATATCTATATCAGAAAGTAATTCAATTTCTGTTTTAGTATGTTTTAAACTAGCATCCCAACATAATCCAGGTGCTGTATAGTAATGAGCCGGGTCTAAATCGTACGTTTTAATGCAAACACACCTAAAATTTTCAAAAATATCTGCTAACAATTAAACATCAGTTTTTAAATAAAGATTTGAATAATCCAACATATCTTTACAATTGAAATGATTCCAAACATCTTTGGCATGGTTGTAATCTTCATTAGAAATAATGGAATCTGTAAGAGTACTGTAAAAGTGTGGAAGATCTGGAAGTTGATTGTAGTTTAAAGTATCAAAATCTTTAATGAATTCATATGGAAATACACCTTTTTTTAGTCAGCCGTTTAAAGTCTTCTGAATTGGGAAAGCATTTTGATAATTCATTAAAATTATTCTTTGTTAAATTTTTTGCTAAAGTATCTAAGGTACTGGGTAAAAATTTTAGGGAATCCACGAAACGTAAAGTTACATTACTGTTATTGATTTTTAGAACCTTTGAGAATGATATGTATTTTTCTTTATTTTGTGGGAGAACTTCTACCTGACCTTCATCAAAGTTTAAGGCATGTACAATAAAATGTGCATCATAATGACTTAAATTGTGCAAGAAGACTGGTATAGTGTAAGGTACTCTAAATTTTTCAGAACAAACTTTATGTATGAGCCCAACAAATTCCCCAGTAAACCAATCGTAGTAAATCATTGAATTCCCACACAAAATTTTATCACAAATATAACAATGATTAGATTTGCTAACTATATCTTGCTGTATTGGTGATATTTATTAGCAACTTTTTGGAAACCAATTTTTTTAACGATTGTTGTCAAATTATCTTTCAGTGATTCCATAAATTTTAAAGCACAATTTTCACCAGTGTATGTTACATATTTAAACAATTTATCATCGTATGAGCATTTAATGTAGTATCCAAAACTATACGCATTATGTTTTTGTACATTTATTGTATGTGATTTTGAAGGATCGTTTGAACATGATGCTAAGGGACTTAAAAAAGCCTCAAAATCCGCATATATAACAAAAGGTAACATCAAATTACGTTGAAATTTATCAAAACTCAATTGACATTCAGAAACAATATCGCCCCACCAATTTCTTTTATTTTTATCTAAGCTTGGTATTTGTGTACAAATATGTCTGCAATCATATTTTATTTGATGGTTATTTAAACGTTCAGATGTTAAAAATATTGTAAACAAAAGTGACATAGATAGTCATATAGCTTCCTTGTATTTCGAAACTTGACTACTTATTAATCGTGACATATTTTTTATACAATAATAATGACCGATTTTACCCTGTGTCAAATA